TTGCTTTATTTTGGCCTAAAATTGAAATCTAAGCAATTATTTTTATAAAATATATTAATTTAGAATTATTTCTATGTTAAAATCGACCAAAATTTAATTGAAAATAGCCCAAATTACTTTATTTTGGAAGAAAACTCTTGTTTAAGCATTTATTTTCTTGAAATACATTGATTTAGGGTGATTTCTGGATTAGAATTGAACCAAATCGATTGAAAATAACACAAATTACTTTATTTTTTATATTTTTTACATTTTTTTGGAATTGAATCAAAATTGTTTGGAATTATATTATTTGGAAATATGTGTTTGGAATTATTAAAATTATTATTGCAGTTTTTTGGAATTACTTGAATTATTTGTAAATTACTAGAATTATTTATACTCGTAAATTACTGAAATTATTTGTAAGTTACTGGAATTATTTTTTAATTTTTATTTGGAATTATTGGAAATAATTTTTTTGAAAATTATTTTAAGTTTGTGAGAACTGTCGGAATCAATTTTAGATTACAGGAATCATTTTGTTAAAAAATATACAAGTTCACAATAATAAAATGTAGAAACGACAAAATTACAAGAATTATTTTGAAATTACAAAAATTAAATTAGAATTACGACAAATATTAAGTTGCAATTACAATCTGAAAACAGTGAAATTACGATGTTTGATTGAATTTTGAAAATACTGGAATTTCAGTGGATTTTTTTGGAATTATAATAGATTTAGTTAAACACATTTTTTCGTACTGTTCAAAGTTATGTTAAAACTATACAAGTTTAAAACAATAAAAAATAGAAATTTAAGCAATTATTTTTATAAAATATATTAATTTCGAATTATTTCTGTGTTTAAATCGACCAAAATTGGATTGAAAATAGCCCAAATTACTTTATTTTGGAAGAAAACTCTTGTTTAAGCATTTATTTTGTTGAAATACTTGATTTCTGGCTTAAAATTGAGTTAAATTGATTGGAAATAGCACAAATTGCTTTATTTTGGCCTGAAATTTGAATTTAATCAATTATTTTTCTACAATACATTGATTCAGAATAATTTTAATTAAAATTTGTACCAATTTATCCTCGCCGGCATCGGCCCCAATCCAAATCTCCTCGGGGGGAATCACACGCACGAATTTGTCGTAGGGCTCATGGGCACTAAATTTCAATTATTTGAATTGTAGAATTGTAAAAAACTCACGTTTTTGTGAATTGGGGCTCGGGCCATCTGTAATGGTTCCGATAAGTGGAGACGAAACATTGTGCCATTTTCACGGAAATTTACAAAAAAAAACGTCAATTTTACTGTCAAAATTTTTAATTCGTCTACAGTCTGATTGTTACAATAATTAGTTTATTAGAATAAATAATTTATTAAGTTAATTATGTACAAACGGTGCTTGAATCTAAGCATATCAATTTAAAAAAAAAAAACTTCTTTTCTATCTTAAGGACTTTTCATTTTTCTGTATTCGGGTTTTTTTTTAAGTTATTTACTTTTTTAGGAATAAAAAACTGTTTTATTTATTAAAATTATATTGAGTTTTTTAGAACTACCGGAATTTAAAATTACAAGAATTATTTTGAAGTTACGACAATTAAGTTGGAATTACAGGAAGTAATTTGGAATTATCGGAATTAATCTGAATTACCATGGATTATTGAAATTACTGGATTTGCGGTGAATTTTTTTGAAATTACTGGAATTTCAGTGGATTTTTTAAAATTACTGGGATTTTGGTAGAATATTTTTAGAATTAGATTTAATTAAACACATTTTTTGTACTGTTTAAAGTTATGTTAAAAACTATACAAGTTCAAAACAATGAAAAATAAAAATTACAAATTTTTCATTCTTAAAGCTAAGGGAAAAACAAATCACTGCTTTTACAAGAATAAGAACTTTTTATTAACTATTTTTATTTTTCTATACAGTGTTTTGCTACAGTTATTTACTTTTAGGAATGACATTTTTGATTTTTTATAATTCTGCAAAAAAATCCCATTTTTTCTGAAAGTAAATATTGTTCCGAGAGCTGTTCTCAGGAATTAGTTGTACGGTTTTTTGGAATTTTATCAAAATTGTTTAGAATTATATTATTTGGAAGTAGGTATATTTAATTTTTAAAATTATTATTGCATTTTTTGGAATTACTGGAATTATTTTGGAATTTTTCTTTGGAATTATTGGAAATTTTTTTTTGAAAATTATTTTAAGTTTGTGAGAACTGTCGAAATCAATTTTAGATTACAGGAATCATTTTGTTAAAAGATATACAAGTTCACAACAATAAAAGGTAGAAATGACAAAATTACAAGAATTTTTTTGAAATTACAAAAATTACATTAGAATTATGACAATTATTAAGTTGGAATTACTGAAAACAATGGAATTACGATGTTTTATTGAAATTATTAGATTTTTGGTGATTTTTTTTTAAATACTGGAATTTTCGTAGAATTTTTTAG